TAATAATTGCAGAACTTTGTGAATATACTAAAAAAAGCACTAAATTGTACACATTAAAAGTGAATTTATGGCATGTGACTGATATTTCAATTTTTTAATTACAAAAAAAAAGATAAAAGTGAAGGAAATATGGCAAACTGCTTTTAGGACCTTTAGGTTGAGAAGTATTTCTTAGGACATGAAAAGCACTAACCATAAACAAAAAAGATTAATTCTTTAACTACGTTACTGTTAAGAACTCTATACATCAACAGGCACTTTCAAAAAAGCAAGAACAAGTCGCAAATTGGAAGAAAATATTAGCAGTTATATAAACGAAAAGAAGCAGAATCCAGAATAAAGAACTTCTACACAAATGAACAAGAAAAAGATGCACCATAGGAGGAAATGGACAAAAACCATGAGTAAGCATTTTAAGAATGGTTTGCCGGGCACAGTGGCTCAAGCCTATAATCCCAGCATTTTGAGAGGCCAAGGCGAGAGGATTGCCTGAGCCCAGGGATTCGAGACCAGCCTGGGCAACTTGGCGAGACCTCGTCTCTACAATAAATCAAAAAATTAACCAGGCGTGGTGGCGCACACCTGTAGTTCCAGCTACTTGGAAGACTGAGGCAGTTGGATTACCTGAGCCCAGTAAGTCAAGGCTGCAGTGGCCGTGAGCATCTATGAAACATGCTCAATCTTATTAATAATTGAGAAAGTTCCAACTAAGATCATAATGTCATTTTAAAGTACTAAATTGGGGGTAAATTTTAAGTCTGACAATATCAAATGATAAATAATGAGTACTCTTACACAGCAGCTAGGCATGTGGTTTGTATGATCAAACCCATGGGCTCAGGCAATTCACTCGCCTCGGCCTCCCAAAGCCCTGGGATTACAGGCTGAGCCACTGAACCCAGCTGATTCACAGATCTTTAATAAACGTAGAGTTATACAAACATTGCCACAATCTGGAAATAGGAAATTTTCATCTCCAAAAAAACTCTCTCACTTCTGCAATCACTACCCATTCCCACCCTCAACCCTGGGACAATTTGTTTTCTAATCAATACTAATCTTACTAGTTAATAATACAATCTTGTTACATAACGAATTTAACTAAAACTAATCTGTGTTCTGTCTCTATAGATTAACCTCTGGACATTTCATTTAGATTGAACCATGTAATATGAGACCTTTTGTGCCTATATTCTTTTACTTAGCATAATATTTTTTAAGGTTCATCCATGTCACTGCATGTGTCAGTACCTCAGTACTGATTTTTGTTTTTTGAAAGCAGGATTTATTAAGAGAACAGAAAAGCTCTCACAGTGGGAGAGGACCTGAGGGTGTTGCCTAGCACTTCAGAACTGATTTTTAAGGATGAATAATATTTCTGTATATGATGTGCCACATTTTATCTATTCACCTGTTGATGATCATTGGGCAGTTTCCAGTTTTTGGCTATTATGCTATTACAATCATTCTGGAATAAGTCTTTGTGTGAACACATTTTCATTTCTCTTAGGTAAATACCTAGGAGTGGAATTGGTGAGTCATTATTGGTAATTTTTTTTTTTTGAGTTGGAGTCTCACTCTGTTGCCCAGGCTGGAGAGCAGGGGTATACTCATGGCCACCCCAGCATTGACCTGCTGGGCTCCAGCGATCCTTCCACCTCAGATTTCCAAGTAGCCAGAACTACAGGCATGCGCTACCACACCCGGCTAATTTTTGATTTATTGTAGAGACAAGGTCTCGCCAAGTTGCTGGGGCTGGTCTGGAACCCACAGGCTCAGGCAATCCATTCCCCTCAGCCTCCCAAAGTGCTGGGATTACAAACTGAGCCTTCAAGCCTGGCTGGTAATTTTTTAAATACAAAAAAAAAGAAAAGAAAAGAAAAGAAGCTGCATGAGGGGACTTATGCTTATAATCTGAACATTTTGGAAGACAAAGGTGAGAGGATTGACTGAGCCTAGGGGTTTGAGACCAACCTGGGCAACTTGGCGAGACCTTGTCTCTACAGTAAATAAAAAAAATTAATCGGGCATGGTGGTGCATGCATGTAGTTCCAGCTACTTGGAAAGCTGAGGCAGAAGGATAGCCTGAGCCCAGCAGGTTGAGGCTGTGATGGCTGTGAGTAGGCCACTGCACTCCAGCCTGGGTGACAATGAGACTCCAATTATAGAAAAGAAGAAGAAGAAATGGGGCCTTTGGTTCTTTTGAACTTAAGTGAAAGGGTTAAAGTGAATACGCAGTGCACCTCTTGGTGCTGGACAGAAAGATGGGGACATATTACACAGAATATGGAAGCCAGAAGACACCGAGGTAAAAAGATGATTAGAGAAGTAAATTGGTTGTTTCCTACGGAGAAAGTAGAGTTAAATGAAAAGTTAACAGGAAGAAATTTGTATAGCAGCCCTTGGAAGAAAAACAATTTTATTCAAGGGCACAACTGCTGCTTCTTTTTATATAAACACATTCTTGTGGGGTTATCAAATATATTAATAGTGCACATGAAATTTTTTTTTTTGAGTTGGAATCTCAATCTGTTGCCCAGGCTGGAGTGCAGTGGCACACTCATGGCCACCGCAGCCTTGACCTGCTGGTCTCAGGCGATCCTTCTGCCTCAGCCTTCCAAGTATCTGGAACCACAGGCATGTGCCACCACGCCCGGCTAATTTTTTGATTTATTGTAGAGACGAGGTCTCTCCATGTTGCTCAGGCTGGTCTCAAATCTCTGAGCTCAGGCAATCCTCTCTCCTCCACCTCCTAAAGTACTGGGATTACAGGCTTGAGCCACTGCACCCGGCTCATAAAAATTTTTTAATGGGAAGCCGGACTCAGTGGCTCATGCCTGTAATCCCTGCACTTTGGGAGGCTGAGGTGAGAGGACTGCTGAACTCACAGGTTCGAGATCAGCCTGAGCAATCTGGTGAGACCTCGTCTCTATAGCAAATCAAAAAATTAGCTGAGCGTGATAGCGCATGCCTATGGTTTCAGATAACTGGAAGGCTGCAGTGGAAGGATTGCCTGAGCCTAGCAGGTGGAGGCTGTGGTGGCCATGAGCATGCCACTGCACTCCAACCTGGGCAACAGAGTGAGACTCCCACTGAAAAAAGAACTTTTTAAAAATGGGATTGTTAAAGAATTGAAGTTCTTTTGAGCATTCCAGATTTTCTGATACAAATAGTGATTTAGCTTGTTTACAGTAGAGAGAGAGAGAGCGCGCAATACAGTAAAAGGCAAAGAAGGAGGGGAAAGTGTATTAAACAATGAATCTGTGAAATACCTGAGATTTTGTTTTACAACCATTAATCTTCAACACTGAGGATTTAAAATGTTGCTTTTGTTTTAGTGTTTTTCTCTGTAATTCCTTAGACATCTGTGCAGATTTTCATTCTTGTGTAAGAGGCAGGAACAGATAAATATCCTGGACATTTCCAAATTAGTTTTCTAGTTGCTCTGAGGAAGATTGCCTATTAAAAGAAAGCTCAATCCACCCAGGCAACTTGGTGAGACCTCATCTCTATAATAAATCAAAAATCTGCTGGGCGTGATAGCGCGCGCCTGTAGTTCCAGCTACTTGGAAGGCTGAGGCGGAAGGATCGCCAGAGCCCAGCAGGTTGAGGCTGCGGTGGCCGGGAGCGGCCACTGCACTCCAGTCTGGGTGACAAATTGAGACTCCAACTCAAAAAAAAAAAAAGAAAGAAAGCTCATCTTTTCTTTACCAGTTCCACTCGACCTGAATTTGACATTTCTTCAAGAGAGAAGTAAATCAGGTTGTCAGTGACATGTATTGCATATGTGAGTCTGCGGCATCTGACAGCATTCTGTGCAGAGGGAAGACAATGGCGATAACATGTCATCTTAGACGTTAGGTAATCTTGTCCATCTAACATGAAAAAAAAAAAAACAAAAAACAGGAGAGGCCGGGCTCGGTGGCTCAGCCTGTAATCCCAGCGATTTGGGAGACCGAGGTGAATGGATTGCCTAAGCCCGCGGGTTCGAGACCTGTCCGGGCAACTTGGAGAGATCTCATCTCTACAATAAATCAAAAAATTATCTGGGCGCGGTGGCGCGCTCCTGTAGTTCCAGCTACTTGGAAGGCTGAGGCGGAAGAATCGCCAGAGCCCAGCAGGTCGAGGCTGCAGTGGCCTGGAGCGTGCCACTGCAGCTTGGGTGACAGTGAGACTCCAACTCAAAAAAAAAGAAAAAAGAAAAAAACACGAGAGGCCAATTTTGGCAATCAAGAAAACTCAGCAGGTGAAAGAAATGCCAGTCATTGAGAAGTACTCCAGTATGGACTTGTGACACCGCTGTGATACAGAACCTTACTACAAACTGTGGAAACATCTCATTTTCTGAATCAAGGCGGTTACAACGCGAAATGAAGAAAGATGTTCTCCCGCTGGTCCCTCTTACTTCCACCTAACTTGCTTCGGGTGAATGCCCTCCTTTGTATTTCCCTCATGCTCCCCAGTTCCCCCACTGCACACGCTAGAAAGACTTGTTGTTGCGTGTGTGTATTTACACAGACAGGCTTTACCGAACACTGTCTTCTGGTTAAATTTGGGC